AAAAATTTTTATGTTTGTGTGCACACATGTGCGTGAGTCCAGGTACATGTGTACATCGGAAGAGGGTGCTGCAGTTCCCTGGAGTTGGAGTTACAGGCAGTTGTGAGTCATCTGATGTGGGTGCTGGAAACTGAACTCAGATCCTCTGGAAGAATAGCAAGTGCTCTTAACTGCTGAGCCACCTTGCCAGCCCCCTTTAAAATATTTTTATTGCTGGGCCTGGTGGCACAGGACTTTAATCCCAGTACTTAGGAGGCAGAGGCAGGCAGATCTCTGTGGGTTCCAGGTCAGCTGGGTTACTTACTGGGAGACACCCTCTCAAAAAAATCCCATCCCCCAAAATAATTTTATTGATACAAGAATTTCACTGAAGGTAATTATGATCATATTCAGACCCCCACCCCTCTCTACCCCCTGGGCTACCCCCTTCCCCTCTCTGCCCCCTGGGCTACCCCCTGCCCTCCCCCACTTCATGTCCCTTTATTATTTGTCTTTTAAAAAATATTTTATTTAGTAAAACAAATTTTATTTATTATTTTTATTTTATGTGTATGCATGTATTGTCTGCATGTAGGTAAGTGCACCTGTGTTGTACAATGCCTGTGGAAGACGGAAGAGGCTGTGGGATCCCCGGGAGCCAGAGTTACGGACAGTTGTTAGCTGCTATGTGGGTGCTGGGATTCAAACCCATGTCTTCTGCAAGAACAGTCAGTGTTCTTAACCGCTGAGCCATCTCTCCAGCACTATTAGTCTTTTTCTTTAAAGGCCTAATCTGTGTCTCCCAAGTGCTTTGTTTTTGGTCTTTTTGAGGCAGGGACTCCCTGTAGTCCTAGCTGGCCTGGACTTGCTATGGAGACCAGGCTGGCCTTGATGTCACAGAGATCTGCCTCTGTTCCCTGAGTGCTAGGATTAAAGACATGTACCACCACACTCTTTTCCAAAGTGCTCTTGAATGTGGCTCTATCCCTTAGATTCTTGACAACCTACCAGGCATCACGCCAGTAAGGAAAACTGACTCTCCCTCTCCCAGCATCCATCAAATACCAACAGATATTCAGCTATACCTGGGGCTCCCTGCCCACCTTCCCTATCCATGCTGGGTCCCTGTCGGGCTTGGGTTTGCACAGGTCTTGTGCATGCTGTCATAAGTGTGGTGGGTTCACATATGCAACTACCCTGTGGTGTCCGGACAACACAGTTAGACAAGGTCTCTAGTTCAGGCTGGCCTCAAACTCCCTATGTAGCCCTATGAACTTCTGATCCTCCAGCTTGTACTTCCTAAGTGTGATTACAGGGGTGTACTACGACACTTAGTTTTATACAGTGCAGGGTATGGAACCCAGGACTCCTTGCATGCCAGGCAAGCACTCTAACATCTGAGCTACGTCCTTAACCTCTCATGACTCTTGGAGGAGTCTATGAACTGAACCACCCAGCAGCGAAGGAAAATGCAAGCCAGACTATGACAATGAACGCACTTCCCTGTAACTTCTAACACAAGGCTCCATGAAGGGCTGGACGGCTGAGCCAATGAGGGTGAGACAGAACATGCAGTACCGTGGAGACTGGTGGATGGTGATGGTGATGGTGATACCAATTCTGTGGGCAAGAAGGAAACTCAAATGGTTTGTCAGTGAGATCTGTCTATATTTGGTGATTTGTTTTTTAAAAGATCTATGTGTATGTGTGTGTCTATAGGAGTGTATGCAACATGTGTGCAGGTGCTCACAAAGGCCAGAAGAGGGCACCAGATCCCTTGGGGCTGGAGTTACAAGTGGTTGTGACTGCCTGATGTGGGAGCTAGGAACTGAATTTGGGTCTGGAAGAGCAGCAAGTGCTCCTAACCACTAAGCCATCTCTCCAGACCCTTAGTGATTTTTTAAAATTGTCTTCTGCCCTGTCCTTTGGGCACCTGGCCAGCTGGGGTCTCCTCCTTCCTAAGTAGGGACTGGCTACCTGTTTTTGAAGGAGGGCCTGCCAGCTCTCGGGCCTTTTTGCTAGTTCTCTGAAGCAGGAGACTCCTCCTACTTCAAGACTGCTCAGGGATCAAAGGGAACAAGATTCTGGCCGGAGGCCTAGGCCACATCCCCCTACAGAGCCCATCAGAGTTCCTTGTCCATTGCCCTGTCCATGCCTCTGCTGGTCCGAGCCACGTTCTCTGACAGGCTGAGGATGCAGGCCAGGATTCTTCCTGAGAATTCATGTTCAAGTTCGGTGGGGAGAGGAAAAGGAGGATCAACCACCAGGTAACTGGGGGTATCCACTGTGTCCAAAGGTCCCAGGCAGAAGCCTGGCGTGGTGGCGTACATTTGCAACTCTACACTTAGGAGGTGGAGACAGATCTCTACATAATGGGACCCTGTCTTAAATAAAATGGGGAGTGGGAGTAAGGGTTGACTGGGGATATAACGCAGTTGGCAGAGTGCTTGCTTAGCATGTATGAAGCCCTGGGTTCCATTCCCTGAATTTCATAAACTGGGTGTGGTGACACATACCTATAATGGCAGCACTCAGGAGGTAGACAGGAGGGTCAGAAGTTCAATGTCATCATCAGCTATGAAGTGAATTTGAGGCCAGCCTGGGCTGGACCTCAGGAAGTGAACAGGGGCCCCACTTGCTCAGGGAGATTCTGGATCCCAGAACTTGTTCACAGGGAGCCTGCTCTTCAGCCCCTCTGCTCCAGCCCCCCAATCTCTCCTAAGCCCTGCTCTGCCTTCTAGATTCCAGGCACATGTTATCCCCTCCCAGAACTATCATCTGCCTGTGTCCAACTTACGGACTCTTTGAGTCACGTGTGCATGCGAGTGCACACACATATGCACACCTTGACCAGAAGTCCACCTTGTTTACGGATATAGTCAGGGTGTGAACTGAAACCCTTTCTGTGTGCATTTTTCAGGCTCCCCCATTAGGACCGGCAGCTCTCTCGCCTCTCTAACTCCTAGAGCACTGTCCTTGGATGCTTGCAACTTCAAAGCCATTTTTCTAATGACTGTGTCAGTGGATCCTGTTATGTCCTGTGACCGACTGTACTGCACATGCTCAGAACAATATCTCATGGAACACGGATGAAGGAAGAGAGTCTCGCCTGCCCATGGTCACAGACAAGACCTTACCACAATAAATATGGCCTTAAATAAAACCCAAAGCTAGACTTCCGACAAGGCCCACCACGTCTCTGGGTGCTTTGCTTCCACCTTTGGCTGGACCAGGATGGGTACATAGGTGAGTAGGAACAGGGGTCATGAGGAGACACCCTCTGGGGCCATCACAAAAGGTCTGGGGGGGTCAGAACCTTGGAGGAAGAGGGCAGGGGCTACGAGTTGGACCCACTGGTTCAGCTGCCACCTATCCATGGACTGAGGGTGGGTGGGGTGGCTCAGGCCCCTCCAGCCACAGCTGATGGCAAGACAGGTGCTGGGAGGGCAGCTGGGGGGCCAGCTAGGGGTCTCCTTGGCTCAGCTGAGGGGTTAGATTTAGGAAGAGAGGGAAAGGGAGGGAGGGAGGGAGAGAAAGAGAAAGAAGGGAAGGAAGAGAGAGAGAAAGAAAGAAAGAAAGAAAGAAAGAAAGAAAGAAAGAAAGAAAGAAAGAAAGAAAAAGAAAATATAATTCGGACAGTCGGGGATCTCGGCCACACCCCCAACACAGCTGTTCCCAAACCACATCGGCTGCTTTGGGTGAAGGAAGACTCCCCTGGAGCTATGCCGGCAGCAGCCAGGAGTCCTCAGGGAACACACGCCTTCCTTTCAGGAGCAGATAAAGAGAGAGAGAGATAGAGAGATGAGAGAGAGAGAGAGAGAGAGAGAGAGAGAGAGAGAGAGAGAGAAACATTGCCTCTGGGTGCCCGAGTCACCCCAACAATACTAAGGGGTCTCCTTCCTCTTCCCAGAAGAGAAGGCACCAACTGGCCAAGCCTGCAGACAGCTGGACACTGAAGGTCATTACTAGGTTCCCTGGTACAGGCTCTGGGGAAGTGCACACCCCACAGGGGATCAGGAGCCCCTGGCTCTTACTGAGAAAGGTCTAAAAGGGGAAGAAGCCAGCAAGACTCCTGGGCACAGCCTAGAGAGGTTCTGCTCAGCCAGACTGCCCACACTGGGGATCAGGAGGCAGTGCCTTACCACTGCAGGCAGAGGTCAAAGTCCCGAGATGGGCGCACCGCTCTCTACAGACGGGCCTCTTTCCGGGCTGCTCAGCCCCTGAATCTCTGACCCAGCCGAGAGAACTGACTCAGCCGGGGCAGTAGAAGGCGTCGTGGCTTTGACCGCAGCTTCAGATGGACTGAGAGACTGCAGCTGGGCCTGGCAGGGAGGTCGGGGAGGCCCTGCCCACCCGGTGCAGAACCCTGCAGAGGAAAGGGCTAGCTAGCAGGGAGAGCGCACTAGCGCCAGGATGGCAGGAGGGGCTGGCCCAGCCCCCACGACCTCAGAACTGCAGAGCCCAGAGCGTGGGGAGAGGGGGGTCCCACGCCAGAACAGACAGACAGGAGGACGGTAGTCAGCCCAAGGGAGGGCTCGGGACGTGGGAGATGGGGCTGATCTGTAGGTTCCCGGCGTCCAAGAGGGAAGTCACCCCCGCTGCTTCCCCCAGTCAGAGGTCTTGGCAGCGGCGGGAGACTCGGGAGACTCAAGTCAGCTTCTGCCTAAACTTCTCGCAGGCCACCCGGCCCGGGAAAGAAAGCGCCTGGGGTTGGAGCCTCGCAAGGGGAACTTCGGGGAGCTCCCGGGCACACGCGCACCTCGCCCTCCAGCTACCCCGCCCGGATGCCCCACCCCTACCGCGCGCCGCGGGTCCCCGGGGTGCTCAGCCTCCGCTTCGCGCCCCCCGCCCCGAGCAGACTCCACTCCGACCTTTCCAGCCTCCCGATCCCCGAGGTTCCCAACCACGAGTAACGCTGGGGTCTTGGGATCCGAGAGAGGACCCGAGGGGGACGGCGGGGACCAGGGCGCGTGGCCGACTCCCAGGTCCCGGGGGCTCGGATCCCCGAGGCACGGGCTCACCTCCTGGTAGGTCTCGTCGGCGGGGCTGAAGGTGCTGTCCACTGGCTGCAGGCGCAGGCCGAGGTGCGGGACTCTGTGCAGCCACTCGACCCACCAGGGTGCGATGTACTCCACGCGCGCCGCCGGCATGGCTGGACACGCGAAAGCTAGTGCGCTCCAACAGTTCTGCGGCCGCCACTGGGTACAGACCCGAGCGGGCCCGCCCCACCCCAGGCTCCACCCCGCCAAGGCTCCGTCCACAAGAGCCACGCCCCAAGTCCTCCCTTAGGACCCGCCCCTTCCCAGGCCCCGCCTCTCCCCAGCTCCTCCAAGGGCCCCTTCCTGGACGTGCCCACCCACCCCAGAAATCTGGCCCCAAAGCATCTCCTTTGACCCCGGGACTGAAAAAGGTGGGAGGGGACGCGAGGAGAAGTGAAACTCAGTTTCCAAGTTCCCAGGCTTCTTAGTAACGACTAACACATCAAGACTACAGGACTGGTGTGGTGGTGCTTGCCTAGGGCAGGAAACAGGAGGATAAGGAGTTCTAAGGTCATCCTTAGGTACATGATGAGTTGGAGCCAGCCTGAGTCTGTCTTCAAACAGAAAAGAGGTCACTCCTATCAAATATATTGGGTTTCCTGAGAAATTTCTTCCTCAGCAACTGTTCCTGATATTAAGGATCTGGCTTCACTATTTTCCAGAAGATTCTGTTTTGGCAAGAGGTGCTATGGAACAAGTAACCATAGTCTTGTTTGATGGTTCTCCTTTGTCTGGCAGGCATTTAGGGAGGCTGAGGCAGGAGGATCCCCTGTTCAAGGCCAGCCTGGGCTGTAGAACCATACCCTGTCTCAAGTAAATAAGCTATAGAGTTTCAACTCGCATTGATGCCTAAATTGCTCCCTCCTCACATTGACAGATTCGGCCACACCTTTTGGTGTCAACACCTTTTGGTGTATTTTGGGGGGCTGCGTACAGTGATGTATTTGAAAAAGAATGAGCTAGAAGCATGTACCTAAGCCAGGTGTGGTGGAGCTCGCCTTTCATCCCAGCAGAGGAAGGAGGATCTCTGTGAGATCAAGACCAGCCTGGTCTACATAGTTCCAGGCCAGCTGAGAGACCCTGCCTCAAAAAGACCAAAAACAACAACAAAAAATAAAAACAGAAAAGAAAGAAAAAAATACCATAAAGTGCCACTGGGTATGCTAGCTCCAGCACTCAGGGCCTAAGTGGCTGGGCTAGCCCTTAATTCACTCACTGTTCTGTTTGTGTGTTTGTTGCAGTGTTGGGGTTAGAGCCCTGGGTGGGCCTTGGACATGCTAGGCAAGGGCTCTATCAGTTCTTTTTAAATTTTCTTTTGAGACAGAGTCCAAGTTGCCCAGACTGACTTTGAACCGAGTATCCTTCTCCCTTAGCATTCTGAGGTCTAAGATGATAGATGTGAGCCACCACACATGGCTATATTCACTCTGAGTTGATTGCTTGAGTATCTAGTGTGTAAATCATGTGGACTGGGAGAAATAAGATGTACTCCCTGACCGTAGGACTATCAACTCCCAGAGGGGAGCGGGGAGAGCAGAAGGAGCACCGGAAGGCAAGGATCAGGGGGATGGAAGAGCATTCAAGGGCACATTTATTGAAACCTACTAAGCGCCAGGCAGCATTCCGTCAGTCAACAGAGGAAACAGAAGCCCTTAAGTTAACTGTATTTCATGCGTCCATGTGGCTGTACACATAGCATCATGTGCTAGGTCAGAGGGTACTTTAGGAGGAAGCAAAATAGAGTGGGGCAGCACCAGGAACAGCCACACTCGGTGGAGTCCTGCAAGCCCTTGGCCCTCATTCCTTTGCATACTTGAGTTCCCAGGCCATTTGGCTAGGGTCAAGGGCAGTGCTCCCAAGCCAAGCAGTTTGGTATGGCCACAGCAAGGAGCTCAGGGTGGTAGAAGGTGATTGAGCACGTAAGGCCACTGGGCACCTGTGAGGTGGCCATAGACTCAGGTCAGGTTGAGGCTTGAGTGAAAGCAGCACTGGACAGCTAGCTGGAGGATGCCCGGTGCTGTAGGCAGAGGTAAGACAGGAGACAAGAGTTTAGGGATCCAGCAGATGCTGATGGCATTCTGCAAATGCCAATGAACACGTGGTTGCTGGGGGCGTGGGGGGGCAGTGTCATGATTACTTTCGGTTAACTTGATACATCTAGGAAGAGGGAACCTCAACCAGGGAGCTTCCTCTATTGGATTGACCTGTGGGAATGTCTGTGAGGCATTTTCTTAATTGTTGAGTGATGTGGCAGGGCCCAGGCCACTGTGGGTGGTGCCACCCCTGGGAAGCGGGTCCTGGGTTGTATAGAAAAGCAGGCTGAGCACAGGACAGGAGCAAGCCGGTAAGCAGCGTTCCTCTGTGTTTCAGCTCCTGCCTCCAGGTTTCTGCCCTGGTTTCCCTTAATGATGAACTGTGATTGGATGTGTAAGCCGAATAAAACCCTTTCTAACCTAAGTTGTTTCCTATCAGAGTATTTTATCACAGCAACAGAAAGCTAACTAGGACAGGGAGACTACAGGGCCCTGCCCTGCCCTGCCTGCTGACCTCCCCTCAGGGTCTGCTCCATTCTGCAGTTATTAGAGCTGGGCTGTTACCACATCTGCACATGAGGACAGTAGAGGGTGAAGGGGTGCAGTAATTTGGTGGTGACCCCTCATTCGCACAGGGCTTTCTCTCACTAAACCCATTTTCTGGGATATCTTTCCTATTGTGGGGCACATGATGAATAATAAAAGACAATTTTTGTCCTTATGGTGTCTGTTGAGGCAAGGTCTCTCTACACAGCCCTGTCAGGTCTGGAACTCGCTATATAGACCAAACTGGCCTTGAGCTCACAGAAATCTGCCTGCCTCTGCCTCCAGAGTGCTGGGATCAAAGAAAGGGGTGTGCTATCTTGCCCTGCTCAGGAAGGTTTTTAATCCAAGGTGATTAATTGTTTAATACGTTAAGAGTCCTGTGTAGGCAATGTAAAGGAAGGGGAGTTTGAGGATGTTTCCAGAACTGTAGAAGAGGTGATGAGTGATGGGAGCCGACAGATGAGGGGGTGTCCTGGAGGGTTCTGAGTGGTGGATCAAGGATCAGTGGGCGGATCAGGGAAGAAGGGGAACCCAGCAAGGGAAAACCAGACGAAGGAAGTGACAGGACGATGAGCTGTGTGGGGGGCAGGGACAGGGCACAGTGGCTGCTTGTCAGTGGACTGGGAAAGGGACTTTTGAGGTGATAGAAACGTTCTGTGAATTTCAGCAGTGTTACCCAACTGTTAAGGTTCGTAGAGCTACACCCCAAAGTGGGGGAATTCGCCTTCCCAGCTCCCTTTTTCTTTTTTCTGTTAAGATAGGGTCTTGCAAGGTAGCCCTGGCTGTCTGGTATTATGTAGTCTAGGCTGGCCTTGAATTTGTCTCAATCCTCCTTCCTGAGTCCTAGATACATGCCACCGTGTCTGGTTTTCAAAGGTATACTTCACTGTATGTAAATTATACAGAGAAAGCTAGCTGGGAATAGCAGTCTATACCTGTGAGCCTGTGATTCCAGCACTCAGGAAGTGGAGGCAGGAGTTCAAGGCCAGCCTGGGCAACATGGGCTTGTCTCAGAACAAAACTTCTTAAGATGACTCAGTGGTTAAGAGCTCTTGTTGGAGTGGAGTTCAGTTCCCAGCACCCAAGCAGCTCACAAGAGCCTGTAACTCCCGCTCCAGGGGATGCAACGCCCTCTTCTGGCCTCTGCAGGCACTTGCACATAGGTGTGCACACACACACACAAATCTAAAAAAAAAAAAACAAAAACTAAGTGATTTTTTTGGGGGGAGGGAGGTTTTTGAGACAGGGTCTCCCCATAGCCCCAGCTGGCCTGGATTCACTATGGAGATCAGGCTATCCTGAAACTCACAGAGATCCTGCCTCTGCCTCCTGAGTGCTGGGATTAACAGCATGTGCCACCACGCCTGGCAAATTATGTGATTTTTAAAGCAACAGGAAGGAAAGATAAAGAGGAATGGAGGGGAAGAGGGGAAGGAAGTAAGGCTGGCTGGTGAGGTAAGGAAGGCCAGATGACACACACCCTCAGCCCTGGAGAACGTCTGGATGTCTGACTCAGCCATTGCTGGTTGGCGCAGACTTAGAACCCTGAGAAGTTCTGCCAGCATCCTGCACAGCTGTCCTGCTTGTTCCTCCCTCTCCTCGGGCTCCAGGTTAATGTTGCTCATCCTGTCATCACTTATCCATGTCACCAGAGCCCTGGTGAGTAGGACTGACTCTGAACCTGGATCAGGTGAGCCCCAGACAGAGGCGGACGGTGAATAGGCTTAAGTATGAACTCTCTCTCTGGCCTATGGCTGTGGCCACCTGGGTGCAGCTTGGAATACCCAAGCATATAGTGCTGGCCTGCACTTGGCTCATGAACATTCTAGTTGCTTCTCCAAAGGGGCCCATGGAGGTAAGTGGGAGGAAGACCAGGAGCACACTTCCCAGGGCCTCAGTAAGAGTTGTAGAGGAAGGAAGGACCTCCAGGACTGCCCCGTTGGTTCAAAAGAGCAACTGTGGCCCATGCCTCACTCACTATTCACCTGATGTGCCGTCTAAGGCACTGTCTACTGCTGACAAGCTAGCTGGGGACTGGGACCTTAGCAGCAGTGAACCCCAGCTGTCACCTGAGGGCACAAAAACACTGGATCTCTGGAGCCAGCCTGGGCCAAAGTGCCTCAGATAATGCAGGAACAAGCCATGGTGGGTGGCACCACATGAAAGATGCCTACTCTGGAGTACAGGGCCAGACAAATCCTGCAGCCTTAGTCTGAGGAGATGGGGTGAGCCTCTGGGGTGTGCTGGGACAACGGAGGCCAAAGCCGTGCAGGCTCGTGCTCCTGGGAATCCTCCACGTCAACTGGGGATGAACGAAAGCCATTCAGTGCCCCATCTGGGCTTGTCAGAAATGGGGCGAACCTCTTCTGCCTTCTCCTGGACTAGACAAAACCCAGGTCTTCCAATAAAAATGACAGATGCAAATGCAACCTCATTGCTTCCTGTTTTAAGCACTTAATTCCCTGAACGTTGCAATCCACTTTCTAAAAGTAGCTAATGAAAAAAAATTCATTTCCAAAGTCGGGTGCAACGTTGCACACCTCTAATCCAGTCCCCACCTGGGAGGCAGACAGGCCAATCTGAGTTTGAGGCTGGCCTGGTCTACAAAGTTGCAGGCCACAAGGGCTACATAGTGAGACTTTGTCACAAGTACTTAACATAAACTGGGTAGTAGGGGTATGTGTGTGTGCCCACCTGCAGAAGTTCAAAGCCAGCTGGGAATAGAGACGCTACCTCAAAAAACAAAACGAAACCCTAAACTAGGACTGTTCACGCACTGTAGCAGGTTGCCACCTTGTGGTCAATCCCAATGTAGTCCAGTTAGTTTCCCGTTCTAAAAATTAAGGGATAGGAACAGTTCCAAGACTTTGAGTCTTTTTAAAAAATTAATAACCACATGATTAGAAGAAGCATTTCATTACAGCTTTAACATATTCAGTAACACTCCAGAGCAAGGATACATCTCTTTCAAAAGTGGCTGTAAATTTTTAGGTTCAGTTGAATTAATAGTTATACAATATTGAACTCAGTATAAACCCTGTAAAGACGTAAGATTGAGTTTTCACCCTTTAAAGATCTCCATTTCATTTTATAGTATGCTGTTTCCTACATTTTTAATGCTACTAACACTTAGATGTGTGCACATGTGTCTTTAATCTCTGTATCTGATGATTACTAGTCAGTCAGTTACACTTGGATCCTTAGTACCTGAGTATGGATAGTCATCAGGTAGATTTCACTGGTAATGTTTATCACCTCTACTATTTAACATGAAGTAAATTTTTATGCTTCGTCCTCAAATGTCTTTAAAAAAAATTTTTTTTTTTGTGTGTGTGTATATCCTACAGAACATCCCACACAATTTTATTCCTCTATATACCCACTTCCCAAATGGCACCCTCCCATAGCCTCCCCTCCCACACACTGGAGCCCATATACTGTCATCCGTGTTACTGTCCACTGTGTGTCAACACCCCCCGCCATTCTCTGGTGCTTGTCCATCTGCTGAATCTAGTCAGCCTGTCTACAGATCCTTGCTTTAGGAAGATCAGCTGTTCCTCATCTAGCAGCAATCAGTTGTCAATATTCTCTCAGATAAGATTGGGGGCTGCTGTTCATTTTCCCAGTTCTATGCTGGGTTACCGTCTGGGAGTCTTTTGGGCCAGCCTGGCCAATAAGTCAAAGTAAGGTATCTCCTCTCTGGTATTGTTTCTTGTTATGTAATCTTTAGCTATACATATGGACTCTTAAAAATTATATTGACCCCATTATCTTTGGTTATACTTTTCTTTGGGGTGTTTAAGACCCTACAATTGGCCCAGATAAATTTTCACTCTTAAGGTCGTTGGAGGATCTGTTCCTCAGGGCTCACATGGGCTTGGGAGGAGCCCCTGGCTCCTTTCTTGTTTACCAGTTCCGCCTATATAAAGATAAGTCAAAGGTCCTACTCGACCACGGCTGGCTTTGCTTGGAAGCATGGAGGAAATCTTTCCTGTGTTCACCCTCCTCTTTGTAGACTGGACACTGGTTCAGGTCCATCTGGTAGTCTCCACAGACTCCTTGATCAAGAGGACAGGTGACTCACCACAGTTACAGGACATTTTGAGAGATGCTCGTAGTCCCCTGGAACTTAGTCAACCTAGGAGGGCAAGGAGCAAAAACTCTATGTCCCCCTGACCAAATTAGTATAGGCCTCAAAGTATGGCTGTTAAACATCCAAGGTTAGTTCCACCAGTCTGGCACTTTTAATTACCACATGCCATGTCAAAAGAGCTTGGGCAAAGACCAAATGCTCTCAGATAAACCTTGCCTAGACATATATTACATTCTTTGATCTGGTTGTATGTAAACTTGTCAGTAGGCTGTTGGTGTAATATGGTTCCCTCTGGTTTTCTAAAACTAGCTAGGCATTCTCTCACATTGTCTAACCCTTTCACCATGGCTTCCCTATTTAAAGTGCTGTTTTTTTTCCATTTCTCCCTTAATAGTACCCTTCTCTTACGGTCCCATCTCTTGAGCTCCTTTACTTTTATCCCCTTGCATAACCTTCCCTCCCCCCTCCCCTTAAAACCCATTATCCACATTTCCCTTGTTAACACGTTTTCTACCATTCTTTTTCAGATTCTTTTTCCTTTACTTCCCTGGTTCCTCTTCATTATCCTGATTACTGTAGCTACGTCCAGATACACATTCACCTATAAAGATTTGGTGCTAGCCCTGGAACTCACTGTGTAGACCAGGTTGGCCTCAAACTCAGACTCACTTGCCTCAGTGCTAGGATTAAAGGCATGTGCCACTGTAAATGGCAAGAATTGTTTTGCCTGTATCATGCATGCTGTGTGCAGAACCAGAGCCCATAAGAGGGTCATCATGTCGGTGTGCCCCCCACCCCACGTTGAGTGGCTTTGTGGATGTTGGAAATGAAGCTGTAAGTCCCTAACCTCTGTGCCATCTCCCCAATGTTAACTTTTGCCCACACTACCCCCACTCTCCTCCTCTATAGTTTGAACAGGGCCTCTAGTGGTTCATTTACCTTTTGGGACAAGGTCTCACTACCCAGGATGGCTTTGAAACTGTCCTTTGCCTCAGCTTCCTGAGCAACTACTATCATAGAACTGTGCCAAGAGGCTAGGCTAAATCTAACTGTCCAGTAAATTGTCTCCCCACCTCCCACTGCTGATGCCCCATGGTACTCAAAAGCCCCCCACCAGCAGTTCATGCTGTCTACTTTCTGCTCTTCAGCCCCCAGCGCCTTTCTTTGCACTCTCCTCAGATCCCCATGTCTTCCTGACTTCAAGCATCATAGTAAGTAACACTTCTAAGGGACACCCCAGTGGGTTAAAGGAGGGAGGGAAGGCTCAGCTTGCAGCCACTTGCCTAAGCTGCTCAGCAACTCCCTGTAATTCTCACGGGCAGGCAACCCATGCTATGGAGACCACTTTCAATACGTGTACAGCAGCTTCTTTCCATAAACAGCCGGCTCTTCCAAAGCCTATTCCCACTGCATCAATTTATCCCCAAAGGGCCAATTTTATTACCCATGGAGATCCTGGCCCAAGATGTGGGATGCAAAAAAGTAGCACCAGAATCCACCTCCTATATTTCAACCATTTCCTCCTCATCAAAAGAGAAGGCTAGAAAGATGGTTCGGCGGTTAGTGCCAGGTTCAGTTCCCAGTACCCACATGGCATCCAACCACCACCTGAAACCGCAGTTCCAGGGCACCCAACACCCTCTTCTGGCCTGAGCTGCAGTTATTTCATTCTCACGTGGGCAAACACACACACAGACGGGGTGGGGATGCCTGGAGAAACAGCTTATCAGTTAACAGCAATGGCTGCTCCTCCAGAGGACCTGCGGTTTGATTCCCAGCACCCATATGGCATCTAACCATCTATAACTCCAGCTCCAGGGGAATCTGACCTCCATGGGTGCACTTACATACAGGCAGGCAATACACTCATACACAATATATATATATATATATATTTTTTTTTTTTTAAAAAAAGACAGAGGACACAAGACTTTTGAAGATTTTTAATACAGTCCAAGTTCATTTCAGCTCCTTCACTGCCAAACCTAGGGAGGGAAAGAGATACAAAGATGATCCATGTTATTTGAGTTGCTGGATTTCACCAGGCCCTCTCCATGGGAATTATCACTGGGCTGCCACCCAGGGTTAAATGAGCCACAAACATCCTGGGCCCCAGCTACTTCCAGTATCAGAGCATTACAAGCCCTCTTAGCACTGAGCAGGCACCACAGAGGCTTTCCTAAGTCAGGGATGACCCTGCACTAGGACCCCTGCTGGCAGTCATGGGGACACACTCACCAGGGGGCAGGGACTGCTTCAGCTTCTCTGCCTTCTCCTTGTCTGTGATGACCAGGGTGTAGAGGTACCTGCTGCAGCGGACTTTGAACTTCACATTATCCTTGTTTTTCTTGATCTTGACGGCTATCAAGGAGACCAACGTTAAGGACCAGACTGTGCAGAATCACACAGGCCATGTGCTTCAGTCACACTGACTGCAGCTGGTCACCACTGACAGCTGAGCACACTCCTGCCCCCTGTACTGTCCTTCAATATTTAGACCGTACTGGGAACCTGTACTTCCCTTCTAGCATACTTCACCACCATCTTTAGAGGGAGAATAGTCTCCAAAGGAAATGAGCTGTCTGCGGGGAGCAGTAACTTCCCAGCATTCAGTTCCTGGCAACCAATTCTCTGCACATGAGAAGACACACTGGGGGGACATGGAGCCCTCCCATCAGCACACCCCAACCCAGTGGGCAAGGAAGCTTCCATTAAATTGTTATGGAACCTGTTTCCTGGTTCTTTTAATTCTTAAAAATTATTTTTATTTTGTAATTGTGTGATTTTAAGTGAGGGTATCTGGAGGCCAGAAGGGGGTGTCAGATCCCCTGGAGCTGGAGCTACAGGTGGCTGAGCACTAGTGGGTGCTGGGAACCAAACTCAGGTCCTCCGCAAGAGCAATTACTGCTCTTAATCACTGGGCCACCCCTCCAGTCTGTCTCCTGGTTCTTGACTGCTTAATTTTACCTTGTGATCACAGCTCATGCAACTCCCATGTGCACCTCAAACCAACTGTACAGAATCTAGTTCTAGTCGAATATCACCCCTTATTCCAACTTACTTGAAAGCCTTCAGACACTCCCAACAACTCAGCTATCAAAGTAGTGCCTAGAGCTTCAACCCGGGCACCTAACCTCAGAGGCAGCAGGAGGCAGGCGTGTATTCCCAATACCCACATCCATCTCTGCCAGTAGCTGCTGACCTGACAGGGCATGTCACAGAAGGCGGCACTGGGGCTCAGGCCCAGTTGTCCTGGCACCAGATGCCTGGATTTCAGTACCCTAACATTTGACACACCATGTTGCCCCTGGAAGCTACTGCACTCCTGAAAATTAAGCTGGACACCATTTCTATTTTGGGGTGTGTGTTCCTGAGACAGGTCTCACTAGCCCATGCAGACCTCAAATTCATTGTGTGGCCGAGGATGACCTCGAACTCTGATCCTTTTGCCTCCACCTCGAAGTGCTGGGACCATAATCATGTATCACCATACCCACTGTATTCAGTGCTGGGGATCAAACCCATGTTAGGCAAGTATTCTATCAACTGAGCTATAACTCCAGACCCCAAATATTAATTCTCTTTTTGTCTTTTTGAGCCAGGGTCTCCCTGCAGCCCCAGCTGGAATTCACTATGTAGCCGAGGCTGGCCTCAATCTCAGAGAGCCACCTGCCTCCACCTCCAGAGTGCTGGGATTAAAGGCCTGTGCCACACCTGGCCCCAAATATGAATTCTAAAGACAACCACAACAGCATGATATAGCAATTCCATTTCTCCATAAACCCTGAAAATACAGTAATTGCACAGTCAGGTTGATGGTTGCCAAAATTTGCAACCATGAACAGAATGTGGTACACCCACACAGTGGGATATTTATTCCCAAGGAAAAGTCTCGTGACTCGGGTGTGGTGGCACATGCCTGTCATCTTGGCACTCGATGAAAGCAGGCACTCAAGGCCATCCTTTGCCCCATGTGACACTTAGAAAGCAAAGAGGTTAGGCCAAGTGGGGACAGGTGCTTGCTGCCAAGCCTGATGACCTGAGCTGGAGAACCTACTCTTAAAATTGTCCTGACCCTCATACACGCACTTGCATTGAACACACACACAAGAACAAGAAATGGTAACACACAGCAGTAACCCTGAATTTGGAAGGCTGGGGAAGAATCACTGAGTTTGAGGTCAGCTCAGAATACATTCTGAATATCAGGCTTACAATCATGACCCTGTTTCTAAAAACCAACCAACCAACAAAACCCATCTGAAACCAGGTTTGCAAACACACCCTCAAATAAGTATGACAGATTTGGTAGTATTAACCAGTTAAAGACCTGGTAAGATACCTGCACAGTCCTGTTGGGAGCCAGAGGTGGAAATGGCTTAGTGGTTCTTGTGGAGTACCCAGATTCAGTTCCCAGAACCCAACTGGCTAACAACTGTCCGTTAACTCCAATTCCAGGAGATCCAATACCCTCTTCTGACCTCTGACCTCCTTGTGTTGGCACACACGTGGTACACTCAAAACATGTAGGCAAAAACATTCATTACACATTGGGGCTGGAGACATGGCTCAGTGGTTATGAGCACTGGCTGTTCTTGCAGAGGATCTGAGTTCAATTCCCAGCACCCACATGGCAGCTTACAATAGTCTGTTAACTCCAGTTCCACGGAATCTGGCACCCTTTTCTGGTCTTTGTGGACACTGTACTTATGGGTGTATGTTTTATATAACGAAGGCAATACTGCCCCCCCCCCCCAACCAAAACCCACAAAAAGTGCAGCAGCTGACACTTTGAACCTTTCTTTTTTAAATGGACGAGTGTTCTAGCCAGGGTAGTGGCTCAGGCCTTTGTGAGTTTGAGGCCAGCCTGGTCTACATAATGAGTTCTAGGCTAGCTGGTGCTATAGGAAGACCCTGACTCAAAAAGACTGAAATAAGTACGAGTGTTCTGCCTGCATGTATGTATACCGTATGTGCCTTGCAGTTACAGTTTTGAGCCTGGTCCTCTGCAAGAGCAGTGAGTGCTCTTAACCGAGTCATCCCTCCAGCCCCTTTCTCACAGAGATCTGCCTGCCTCTGCCTCCTGAGGGCGTGTGCCACTATGCCCAGCAACCAGGCCCCTTTCTTTGAAAATTGGCCTTAAGTTCAGGGGATGAAGCCTGTGGCCATCTGGAATTCCTGATCCCGTCTCTACCTTCCAAGTGCTGGGATTAAAATCCTGTTACACCATACCTGACTCCAAAACCCACTTAATGGGGTGCAGGGGAACGGAATCCATGGTATCATGCATGCTTAGTAAGTACTCCACAAGCTGAGCTACATCCTTATGCCCTATTCTGAATTTCTGAAACAGGGTCTCAAGATGTAGCTCAGAGATGGCCTTGAACTCCTGATCCTCCTGCCTTAGCCTGCTGGGTGCTGAGATTAACCAGGCATGGGCCACCAGGCTGGCTGTTTATGATTACTTTCAATTGGGAATTATTCCAAGCAGATGCTAAAGCATTTATTTAATGATAAAGCTGGCTGTGAACAGGACTGTAGTCCGATTCACTATGCAGAACAGACCACACAATATTGATTTCAATGCTTATGGGACTTGCTGGATTTTCATTATTTAAATATCGGGGGTGGAGAGACGTCTCAGCAATCGGTTAGGAGCACTGGCTGCTCTTGCAGAGGTCCTGGGTTCGATCCCCAGCACCCACGTGGTGGCTAACAACCATCTGTCACTCCAGTCCCAGGGGATCTGATGCTCTCTTTTGACCTCCGTAGGCACTGCACGACACGGATGCACTTATATACATGCAGGAAATACACTCATACACATAAAAACAGTATTTAAAAAAACTAACGATCCCACCGTACATAGCAGCAGCTTTGGGTTATTTTTACGTGGTCAAGACAGGATCTCGCTGTCCTGTCGTAGCCTCTGCCTCCTGCGTGGTGGGATTAGAAGCCCGCACCACCACGCCCGGCCTTCCCAATAAAAGTTTCTAAGGCGCTCAACCTCTAAGCCAGCCCTAGGCCACCCGGTTCAGAGAGGCCTGACGGGCTTCCCGTAGGGGCGCAAGGGGTGCCAAGCCAGGCACGCGCTCGAACCCAAGGCCCGGTCTGCTCCCTCCGAGTCTCCGGCAAGACCACTCACATTTGGCATCCTTTCGCCTGGCTGTGAGCAGGAAGTCCTTGATTTCCTCAATTTTCCGAGGCTGCAAAACAGAAGCACCAGGGAATCAGCGCCGGGTACACAGCACTCGAGCGGCCCTGCAGAACCCGGCAAGGCCGGTCCATCCGCGCCCCGGACTCACCATGGCGACGGGCGATCGGAGCTCGCGACGGCCCTGCGGGGAACAGTGCTCCGCGTTAGCGCGATGGCGGCCCCGGCCTTCACCCCGCTCCCTCCTCCTCACCTCGCACCTCTCGTCGCAAACTAGAGATCCCCACACCCCACCCGGCCGCGGATGGCCTCGGATTAATCCCCCTTCCCTGCGTACTCACAGCGGATAGCACCGAAAAGAACGGAAGAGAAAGAGACTTCCGCTTCCGGACAGTTAAACCCTCCCAACACAGGAAATGGAGTACAGTGTCTGCAAAGGACCGAGAAACATCAATGTGTTCATCGTCCTCATTGCAGTAGTTCTGCCCTCTTCTGGTCAAGATTAGTAGTGCAGCTTCACAAAGCACTGGCCGTCCACCCCCCATTCTTCCCCCTCCTCCTCCTTCCCATCCCCTCCCTCCTTCTCCTCTCCCTCCCCCTCCTCCTCCTTTACATCCTCCTCCTCTCCTACCTCTTCTTCCCCCTCTTCCTTCTCTCTGACCCCCATTGTCCCCTCTTCAGAGCACCCACCCACTTCATGTCACCATTTGTGTCCTTCCCACCAAACCCCAAGTTGTTTTGGGATTCCTTAGGCCTGCACATTGGGCATCTGTTCCGAGAATCCTTTCACATAACAGAAGGGACACTCCTATGTACACTTCTTAATGGGGAGACATGCGTCCCAGTTTCCTTTTTGACACCTAGTGTCGGGAGCAAGGGTCCTCCTTGCCCCTCTGTGCAGGCACTGTGGCCTGGGTGAGCTTACTGCTTCCTACTCCTTCAGGAATTGGAGTTACTACATCTAGTAACTGCAAGGTGATGGTGCACTGGTGTCCTCTGGGAGCCCCTGGGTCAGGGCTAACTGCTAGTGTAAGCAGAAGTGGCTCCTTCACCTCCCCATCCCCTCACCACCGCCCCAGATTCCCCAGCTCAGCTCCCACCACCCATCACTTCTGAAGGTTTGGGGACATGAAAGAAGGCAGGTTTGGGGAGGGCAGAGGTGCTTTTGCCTCCTGGGCTCCTCCCGGCTCTCTTCTCTACCCTGTATTAAGCTCCTTAGCACATGGTTATCCTCGGTTCTTCTATAATAATGTCTTTGAAGGTAGGCTCCAGGAAAACTGTGGTTATTGATTTTATTTTTATCCACTTCTATTTTATTTCAACCTCTCTACAAATGTCTACATTTTATTCTGTTTGTTTTCCCTCAATTTAATAAACCTCCTCCCGGCTCTCTTCTCTACCCTGTATTAAGCTCCTTAGCACATGGTTATCCTCGGTTCTTCTATAATAATGTCTTTGAAGGTAGGCTCCAGGAAAACTGTGGTTATTGATTTTATTTTTATCCACTTCTATTTTATTTCAACCTCTCTACAAATGTCTACATTTTATTCTGTTTGTTTTCCCTCAATTTAATAAACTCACAACAGAATGTAATTGCCTTGTACTTAATACTGTAGAGCAGCCCTCCGGAGGATGAGCACTTGGTCATGAACTCTACTTAGAACTCACGCTTTTCCCTCCTCTCCTCCCCTCCCTCCTTTGGGTGAGAGAGTCCAGGTGGAGCTTCTGCCTCCGGTGATACAGAGAAGAAAAACTAATTGTACTGGAGTCTTTTAAAGAAACAGAACTGTGCTTTGGCAACTATAAAAATGTCTGGTGAACATATTTAACTGTGGAAGAAGTTGGTGGACAGAAGCTCCATTTGAGATGTCTGGGGACAGATATACTCTGAGAATCGTGGGTGCTCAGTCCCAACCCAAGGACATCTCTATGTTTACCAGCCTGATTTTGCCAGGCAGCCTCTCTCTCAGTGTTCTGGAGAGCTCTGGTTGTCAACTTGACACCTGGGAAGAAGAAAACGCAGTTGGGAAATTACCTCCATTTGACTGACCTGTGGCCAGGTCTGTGGGGGCATTTCTTGATTATTAAGTGATGTAGGAGGGCCCAGCCCACTGTTGGTAGTGTCATCCCTGGGCAGGTGGTCCTGGGTTGTATAAGAAAGCAGGCCTAGGGGCTGGAAAGATGGCTCAGTGGTTAAGAGCATTGGTTGCTCTTGCAGAAGACCCAGGTTTGATTCCTAGCACCCACATGGCAGCTAACAACCATCTGTAACTCCAGTTGCAGGGGATCTGATGCCCTCTTCTGACCTCCATGGCCATTACACCAGGCACACCTACATACGTGCAGACAATATGCTCATACATATAAAATAAAAATAATAAAATATTTTTAAAAAGAAAGCAGTCTGCCGGGTGTGGTGGTGCACACCTTTAATCCCAGCAGAAGGCAGAGGCAGGCAGATCTCTGTGCGTTCAAGGCCAGCCTGGTCTATATAGTGAGTTCCAGAGCAGGCTGAGAACAGGTCAGAAGGGCAAACCAATAAGCCACATTCCTCCATGCTCTGTGCTTCAACTCCTGCATCCAGGTTTGTGCCCTGAGTTCCTGCCCTGACTTCCCTCAGTGATGAGCTGTGACCTGGGAGATCTAAGAATAAATAAACCCTTTCCTCCCCAAGTTGATTTCTGTCAGTGTTTTTATCATAGCAATAGAAAATAACTCAGGACACTCGGGCAGATGCTCCTAAGCATTGGACACTGTTCACTGGACTCTTCTAGCGGGAGTCAGGGGGGCAGCCCAAAGCCCACAAATCTACCCAAAACCACTGAGGTTCTTCTGGGTCCTAAGAAGTCCTTTTGATCCTCTGGCCCCAGAGAACACCCGAACTCTGAATTTGGCCTTTGTTCTAAATTCCCCCAAGCTGTTCGGGGAAGGCCTTCAAAAGGATTTGACAAGCTTCAGAGCCGCTCATCCTGACTGGACACTGCTCCAGTGTGTGGATGACCTTCTGTTAGCTGCTGCTGACCCAGCCACTTGCCGAGACCTGCTCCATTGGCTCCAGGCCCAGAGGTACCGACCGGTAGTTCTGTGAAGAAACCTCAACTTTGCCAAAAAGAAATCTCCTACTTGGGGTACAAACTTTCTTGAGGGGAGAAGACCCTTACTGCTGCCCAGAAGGAAGCCATCCTTCAGATCCCTATGCCCTAGACCAAAAGGCAGGTATTCAAATTCCTGGAGGTGGCAGGATATTGCCAACTTCAGATCCTGGGCTTGGCTGAAATAACAAGGTCCTTCTACTCAGCCATGACTGAGGACCAGCCCTTAAAATGGACAGAGATAAAGGAACGGGCTTTTCAATGGACTTGGCCCTAACCCAAGCTCCAGCTCTGGTCTTGCCTAATGTCTATCTTTTCGTTCATGAAGCCCAGGGGATTGCAAAAGGTGTGATTTGGGACCCTGGCAAAAGGCCATATTTATCTAAGCACCTAGATCCAGTGGCATCAGGATGGCCCTCCTGTCTACATGCCATAGCGGTTACTGTCCTACTGGTGAAGGAGGCTGACAAGCTCACTCTGGCCCAAGACTTAACCTTAACACATTGGAGTCCCTCCTCCTGGGAGCAAATGGCTGATAGATGTCAAACGCCCGCATCACTCAGTACCAGAATCTGCTCCCTGATCAGCCCCATCTTACCTCAGCCATTCACAGCCTCAACTCAGCAACACTAATGCCTGAGGATAACCCAGAGGTGCCCCTACATGATTATGAGGATCTGTTGGACATCTCCTAGGCAAGACACCTGGACCACCAAGACACTGCCTTACCTGAGGCAGATGCCAACTTTTTCATGAATGGAAAGTTTTGTGACAGAGGGGACTGGGAGGCCAGAGCTGCTATGAGCACATAATGGGATGTGGGCTGGGCCCAAGCCTTGTCCCAGGACATCTTTGCACAAAAGGCTGAATGTATCACCCTCACCTAGGCTCTATGTTTAATGGGCCTGAGAGCCCAGTACAACCCCTGTCACCTAAGCATATTGAGTCAACACTTTCATTCTGCCCCAGGACCAGGGGGAATGGAACCGCAGAACTGACCCCAGTGTGCTCCAACTGCCTTCTGCTTCACCCTGTGTTTTTGCCCAGCCGTTCCCACTGTAGCCAGCCAGGCAGAACGTCTCACGCAGGCAGGCAGTCTCAGGGAGGACATTGTTTCTACAGTACTGGCAAACTCACAAGCAGCCAGGTAGCACGTCCAGATAGCACGTCCTCCCTCCCAGTTATACCTGCATCTGCCTGGAGCCCATTGTTTCTGCAATTCTGAGAAACTTGTTTTTTTTTTTAGATAGGGTCTCCCTGTAGCCCCAGCTGGCCTGGAACTCGCTATGGAGACCAGGCTGGCCTTGAACTCACAGAGCTCTGCCTACCTCTGCCTTCTGCTGGGATTAAAGGTGTGCACCACCATACCTGGCTGCCTCTTACACTATTACACCTCTCTGGTCTTTTCCACCTCCCTACTCTTGGCTGAAGCAAGATGCCCTTCCTCTGTCACGCACGGCCATCACTAATCACCTCTGCATAGGCTGGGCATGGCTTCTCTTTCACTACGTAGCTGAAGATCACTCTGAACTTCTGATCCTCCTGTTTCCACTTCTCAAGTGCTGGTGTTACAGGCATGTAGCACCATGCCTGGATTTTTGTGTGTGTGCTAGGGATCAAATCCAGGGCTTCATGCATGCTATGTAAGCACTTTACCAACTGAGCTGTATCCCTGGTCCCTGGCAGGGCTAAACTCTTTTTTTTTTTAAAAAAAAATATTATGGGCTGGAGAGATGATTCAGCAGTTAAGAGCACTGGCTGCTCTTGCAGAGGACCCAGGTTCGATTCCCAGCACCCACATGGCAGTGACAACCGTCTATAACTCCAGTTCCAGGGGATCCAATGCCCTCTTCTGACCTCTGCAGGCATTGCACAACTCAGGTGCACTTACATGCAGGCAATACACTCATACACGTAAAATAAAATAAATTTTATGTGGGGTGTAGTGGCACACTCTTTTAATCCCAGCACTGGGGAGGCAGTGGCAGGCAGATTTCTGTCAGAACAAAGCCAACCTGGTCTACATAACGAGTTCTAGGCTAGCTGGAACTACAGGGAGACCCTGTCTCAAAAAGACAACCCACAATTTTATTTATTATTTTGATTTTATGTATATGAGTGTATTGCCTGCATGTATGTGAATGCACCTGTGTCATTCATGCAGTGCCCACAGGGGTCAGAAGAGAGCATCAGATCCCCTGGAACTGGAGTGACAGATGGTTGTTAGCCATCAGGTGGGTGCTGGGAATCGAACCTGGGTCCACTGTAAGAGCAGCCAGTGCTCTTAACTACTGAACCATCTGTCCAGCCCCATAAACTCTTGGTGTATTTCATTGACTTTGTTTGAGGGCAAGGACAGGGC